TTAAATATACTTAAATGGTGAATAGTTACCATCAACAGGCTGGAAACCTGAAATACAGACAATAAGCACCATAAATTAATTTGTGATCCTACAGTTAAACTATCAAATACATTAATTTCAGATTCTGTCAATTACCAGAATACTCGTTTTCCTCACCAGTGCGTTTCTTCATCCAGAGGACAATTACAGCAATTCCCAGAAGAAGAACTCCTCCTACAATTCCTGAAACAGGAGCAACTGGAAACTCTGGAGGATAAGCTGAGAAGGTGCAAACAGTTAATAAATTAAGCAGTGCAGATCCAAAATCTCTTCTTTATGACTGGATGTTGCTTCATAAAATTTAACACAAAATCTAACACAAAATTGCCTTTATCAAAGAAAAATAGTGGTTGTAAATTTTTGAGTAAAAGAAAATATCTTACTGCACCGAAGCTGCAATATAATTAAGGAAATTTTACCAAAAAAGACAAACTCTTGTATACCTTCAAAATAAATAAGCACAACATTGGCAGAAAAGGAGCCCATGAAGACATGTAATGCATAGCTGCATGCAACATAGGGATCCCTCTTCTTATATAGCCATGTTTGTGCAGAAAAGGTTATAAAGTGTCATGTTTATATGTAGAAGTACCCAGAAAAATATGTTTTGAGGGAAACACATGTTGCTCAAAAATCTCAGTTTGCTGTCCTAAAAAAATGGTACCATTGCAAAGGTGTGCCTTACCCCAGTTTGTACGGATGAGAGATTTATCCAGAGTGATTTTTATGTCGTCTCCAACACCAGAAAGCTGAAACACACAGTCGTATCTCCTCCAGCCATCAGGTGGGACTGATGAAACATTGAGTTCAACACTCATCTGGAAGGTCCCATCATTGTTGAGGAGGATCTCTCCTTTCTCAACATCCTCGTGAATTTCTTCTCCGTCTTTAGTCCAGAACATTTCAGCTCTGCCAGGGAAGAAACCTGTAGAGGGGCAGCTGACCACAGAAGAGGGGGGTCTCTGGAGCAGAGATATGGAGGGGCTTTCTGCAGAAAGAAAATACAACATAAGATAAATAAAATATAACATCTATAAAATAGCTGCAAATTTGGGCTAAACTGAATAAACATACCTGTCCTCTGCAGAAAGCTCTTTCCATCACGAATATAATTTTTCAACAACTCAGGACATTCGTGCATGCAAGAGTATTTAAGACGTTTTAATCTAGCTTTGTCAGCATCCCATATGAGTTTTGTGAGCACAGCTTGTGATTTTGGAGCAGTCCATGTCAGTGTCTTCAAGTCCAGGGCTAAGAAGTCTTCACCATTAAAACCATGCTGATTAAATCCTGTAACTTCTCCAGTCTCATCATCCCACTCACAGCCATTCATTCTCTGTAAAATGTGGGGACCTTAAAGAAAGAGAAAAATTCAATAAAAAATTTAACACATTTTATCAACATAAAGGCATCTTTTGGCTAAAAACCTTATGTACCTATGTAAAATAATGAAAGATAGCTGAACTTGTGAGACTGACTGTAGCTTTAGCATGTCACAGAAATTACAATAAACATTTTTAAGGGAAACCAAATTGATAAAACTACACTAAATTTAGAAAGAAATGAAATGAACAAAT